AAATCTAAAGTTTCATGCTGAGCTCTGCATAGAAATTATTGTAACTTTAGTAAGTTTTGGATCATTTTTCCCTGAACAGCTAATGAAGAATGTTGTGGTTATATGTAGGAAATTCCTCCGATAAAAAGATAGATGATGATTTAGTAAGTCACGCTTGGTCAGACGTGCCATAAAGATGTCCTTTGTATATACCAGAGAACAGCAAACAGCCAGGAGGAAAGTGAAACTGCCATCAGGGGAATTCCATTAGCAAAGAAGGAAAATTGTGCAATGTTAGATCAATCCGTGGCACTGTGACAGCAACGGAACAATCCTAAAGTAGTATTCAACACTCAACATTGTTTTCATAATGAACCCGGATCAAAGAATGATACATCGCCCGGCAAAGCATTGCTTACATTTTAGCCCAAGCACTTAGGCCTGGGTCACACCTAGGAGATTTTGAGCAGTCGGAAAAGAGCTTTTAAATGCCCAACACAAGAAATCCCGTGATTCTCAATGGTCCTGATTCACACCGGAGCAGAAAAACGCCAGCAGGAAAAAGCCAACCGCCCGAAAAGGTACATGAGCTTCTTTGGGCAGTTAAAGGAGAACTATGAGGTGAGTGAAAATCACTCAGCCTCATAGTTCGAGCCGACGTGTGACAATGAAACTGTCACACGTCGGCTCAATAGATCGGGAAGTGAACGAACACATAATGTCGCTCGCTCACTTCTCGATCCTGTAACTGCAGAGAGCCGTTACTGTCACTCACGGCTCCCTGCAGGGATTCCCCCCTCCCCGATCCTCCAGAGCTGACTGGCGGGTATAGCTGGCTCTGCCCCTAGATAAGCAGAGCCAGCTGTCAATCACGCAGCTGGGTGGATCCAGACAGTAATGTCGGGATCTGTTCCGGCGTCTCAGTATACCGCAAGCTGTAGCTCGCTATATACTGAGCTTTGGGTCACGGGAGGACGCTAGTTTGTGTCCTCCCGTGACCCTGGGGAGAACTATGGGGAAAAGCCCTGACCACATAGTTTTCCTTTAAAGCACGTTTTTGCCCCATAGACTTCAATGGAAATGGCAAAAACGCGCGTCAGAAGCATGTTGCACCTTTTCGTGTGTGTTTTTGCACTTTTAAACGAGCGTTCTTCCATTGCCCGCAATGGGCGTGGCGCAAACAGCTTAATCGACGTGGGCGTGGCGCGAGCGGGAAATTTGAATTTTAGCCGACAAATCGACGATGGAAAACGTTGACAACGTTTTCCATCGTCGATTTTAATTGAATAATTGCTGCAGCTCTAGTGAACAGGTGCTAGTCCTTTTCTATGTGACCAGGGAGGAAAGTGCTAACCACATGAGCAAAATGGAACATCATTCAAGTTGCACTAGTTTGTATTGAGGGCAGGCAAATTTTAATAGTGAGCACTTTTCAATTTAGTCAGAATCTCTCAAGGAAACCTCTTATTATTGAAAAGGGAGGGGGAGGGGGAGGGCTCTTTTCAATAATAAGAGGTTTCCTTGAGAGATTCTGACTAAATTGAAAAGTGCTCACTATTAAAATAAGCTGATGTCATTACATCCAGATCACTACAGTTGCATTTCTAGTGTAGTCCACTCCTGACTTACTTTTAGAAGGTGGGCCCTCAATTGTCTGCAGGCCAGCGGCGGGTGAGGGAGCTCACGGCGAGGAGGAGACCAGCGGGGGACATGGCTTTTGCGGCGACTGAGGGAGCTCACGGCTAGGAGGAGACCAGCGGCCGGCATGACTTATGCGGCGGGTGAGGCAGCTCGCGGCGGGTGAGAGAGCTCACGGCTAGGAGACGAGCAGCGTGCGCGGCTTCGGCCTGTTCGGTGGGCGTGGCTTATGCGGCGGCCTGTGCGGTGGACACGTCGGGAGCAGCGTGTGACGCGTGACGTGCGACTCAGGCCGCGTGCGGAGCCCCGAACAGGCTAAGCAATCGATAGCCGACGAATCGACGATCGAAAACGTTGCCAACGTTTTCAATCGTCGATTTTAATCGACTTAATCGATTAACTGTTGCAGCTCTAATAAATTCCCCTCATGGTGTATTGGACGTGATGACTCGAGGATCCCTAAGCCGGGTGTGCACGTTTCTCCATCTACGTAGTTACATAGTAGAGATTGATGTGTTTTGCTCGTGTACATTTTGATGCACGTTTTTTTTTATTGAACGTGAGGATGCCGAGGGACATACCATCACTGCAGTGGAAGAAGAGGCGATCGGGCACCTAAGATTCAGCAGCTGAAAATTTGAGATATACATTATCGCCATGGATACGCTTTACTGCACTGAGCTGGTATATGATAACTCCTCAATCACGTACCGTGCACTGAGGAGCGACCACACCTCCAGACATATGAGCAGAGGAAGATAAATGTTCAGTAACTACATCGTAGAAATAAATGTAGAGGAGATCAGCTTAATGCAGGGGCGGACAAATCTAATAGCCAATCTGTCCAATCCAGGAGCCAGAAGGATTTGTGAGGAGCCATATCCATTGACAAGAACTAAGGAAAACCTCAAAACTTAGGCGCCAGCTTTTTAAAGAGCATTGGCGACCTGGCTCCTGGGATTTGACCAGCCCTGGTGAATGTATGTACAGGGGGGGACTCATCAATATGGAATTCAGGAGCCAGAAGGATTTGTGAGGAGCCAGCTCCATTGACAAGAACTAGGGAAAACCTCAAAGGTTAGGAGCCAGCTGTAATTTTGGCCACCTGGCTCCTAGGATTTGTCCATTCCTGGGTTAATGTATATTAGGGCTGCAACAACTAATCGACTAAATAGATTATTGGAAAAGTTGTCAACATTTTCAATCATCGATTAATCGGCTTCCGATTAGTTGGCCCTGTTCACGGCTCCAAACACGCTGCGCGCCGCTGCCAGACCCGCCCGCATCCAAACCTCCTCCCCGCCTCATGCTCACCGCCCGCCCACATCCACGATCGACACAGGGACGCGGGGAGAAGAAGTAAGGAGGAGCAGGTGTGGGGGGATAACTGCTGCCGATAGACAGGCCCGATCTCAAAGCAAGTTGCTGTAAGACTGTATGCAGAATGGCACCGGCTATAGAGGACTACAAAACCCAGCAATAGTACATTATACAGCGCAATGCAGAATACTGCCAGCTACAACGTACTATTGCTGGGATTTGTAGTCCTCTATAGCCGTTGCCATTCTGCATTGTGCTGTATAATTTTACACTTTCCATTTCACTTTATTGCACACCACTTTTGTTTTTTTTACTTCCACCGCTCCAAGCTTGCTCCTGTGATGGACTACAATCTCAATACAAACTAGTAGTCCATCACTGGAGCCATTTTTAAAAATGTATTTTATTTTTTATCCGATTAATCGAACGTAATAATCGGCTAACTAATCGATTTTGAAAATAATCGTTAGCTGCAGCTCTAATGTATATATAGGGGTGGACATATTTATATGGGGTTCAGGAGCCTGTCTGTCCAATCCAGGAGCCAGCAGATTTTTTTTTAGGAACCAGCTCCATTGAAAACAACTAGAGAAAACCTCAATTGTTGGGTGCCAGCTTCAATTTTTAAAGAGCATTGGCGACCTGGGATTTGCCCAGCCCTGTGTATACAGTCTTACAAATGAATTTGGAATTACGGGCCGATCTGTACAATCGAAGTGCCAGAAGGATTTTTTTTAGGAGCCAGCTCTACTGACAACAATTAGAGAAAACCCCAAAACTTAGGCGCCAGCAGTCATTCTTTTAAAGAGCATTGGCGACCTGGCTCCTGGGATTCGGCCAGTCCTGGGTTAATGCATATACAGGGGTGGACACGATAAAATAGAATTCAGTAGCCGGTCTGTCCCATCCAGGAGTCTTTTTAGGAGCCAGCTCCATTGACAACAAATAGAGAAAATCTCAAAAGTTGGGCGCCGGCTGTCATTTTCAAGGAGCATTGGCGACCCGGCTCCTGGGATTTGCCCAGCCCTGTGTATATATTCTCAGAAAAGTGAGTTAATATGTTACAACCTCATTTGATCTGCTTCCCCAGCTTCTTGTCCTGGCTCTGAGAGCCGGGGACTGTAACGAGTGACACCGGAAGTGATGTAATTGGTTTATTCAACTTTTTAACAAACCCAAAATATTTTGTAAAAAAAAATGCATTTCAGTTTATTTTTGGGGCCAATCACACCGTATAATAATACCCATTTTTTGTAACATATAAAAGATGAGAGAGCAAAGCTGAAAAGAAAAGGTTTAAAGCTGAACGCCAGACACAAAAACGTGCCGCCCCAGATATGAATCCGCTCTGTGTGCACCAAACGGCTTCAGGAACTTAGATGTTACCTTGTAGAAGTAGCAGTGACATCATCACTGCGCTGTCCATACCCTGCGCACAGAGCAGAGCTGTGAAAAGGGCCCATCAGGCTCCACCCACGACAGAAAAATACAGGAGGGGGCGGAGACAAGTCCTGTCACCCTGCACAAGGAGAGAGAGCAGCAGTGACCGGTCTATATTACAGGAGGGGGCGCAGACAAGACCAGTCACCCTGCACAAGGAGAGAGCAGCAGTGACTGGTCTATATTACAGGAGGGGGCGGAGACAAGACCAGTCACCCTGCACAAGGAGAGAGAGCAGCATTGACCGGTCTATATTACAGGAAGTGTCACACTGGATTACTGCAGAGATCTGGAAGAAACACACAAAGCTCACCAATGGTGAGGTGAGTAAAAGGCCATACAGGTGTGCTGCAGTGCAAGGAGCATGCCAGTAGGGGGAGAAAGCAGAGTGATAGAGAAATGAGCCCGTCAGTCTGCTGCTGACCTGTAAGGGTTTCATATTTGCAGCAAAAAAAAGTGTTGGGGACACACGAAGATAGAGAACAGTGCGGGGTGTCAGTGTTGGGGACACGGGAGGATGCAGAACAGTGCGGGGTGTCAGTGTTGGGGATACAGTGTAGATGTCAGTGGCACTCATATCTATGAGTCAGCTCAGGGTAGAAGGTGACAACACACAGACTGACCTGACACTGCCGCTCCCAGCCCGGCCAGCAGGGGGAGTAGGAGGACCCCTGGGCCCCTGACCATGTTGCTGCCTCCCGTCACATCTGCTCCGATCACATCAGACGGACCGAAGTCAGAACACCAGCCCGCTTAGCCCTGCCCCCCGGTTCCTCCACGCCCACTCTACAATGTACATCCAGGGTCGGCGGCCATTTTCCCTGCGTCTTTTAGCATGCTGAACGTGGCTACAGGAAAATGGCTCTTGTAGTGCGGACACTTATCTGCCTGTAGTGTTATAGAACATAGGATTGATCTGTTGTTTATTTTCTACAAAGGGGTTTTCCCTGAGTTTAGTAACCGTGATGTTCTGTATTCCCATGAGCCTGAGATTATGAGGATGGGGATAGTGTTATGGCATACCGCAATACAAACTGGACAATACACTCTAATCTGGTCTATATATATATATATACGAAATACTATATATACTAGGGTTTCAGTCCGGTTTTTGAGTCCGTTTTTTGAGTCTTGTATATGGGTGCTAGGCCAGCTATCACCCCTACACAAGACACTCCTGTGAGAAGCTACGTACTCCGTTCCTCCAGCACTGTCTCGTCCCACATTCCAGAGGGACAGACAATCATTTCTCCTCCTACCTCTGAGATCATCTCAATGATTAACCCCGTGCTGCCCTGCTCTTCTGCATCACTTTAGAGCAGCGATGGCGAACCTTTTTGAGCCCGAGTGCCCAAACTGGATCACTAAACCAATTTACGTGTCTCAAAGTGCCAACCGTGCACCTCAACCCAAATACTGATGATTTTCTTTTAAAAACACACTTCATATCACTGTTTGAACTAATTATGTCCTTAAAGGTGGGCTCTGCGGTTGTCTGTATGGGCTCTTGAAGACTGTGCAGCTTCCAGGTGGTCCATAAGTGCTCTTAGGTGGGCTTGGCATTTGTCTGCATGGGCTCTTAGGGGCTGTTCAGCTTCAAGGTGGTCCACAAATGGTCTTATGTGGGCCCGGCAGTTGTCTGTATGGGCCCTTGAGGGCTGTGCAGCTTCAAGGTGGCCCATATATGCTCTTAAGTGGTCTCTAAGGAGGGCTATGCGGCTCCTAAGGGCAGATCCAGCTTTCTAATTAGACGGCCGCTTGCTGCTGGCTAGGGCCCTGAGAGGCCCCAGAGCGCAGCCGTCTAATATGCCTGAGGTAATGGCGCCAATGCTAGAGCGCATGCGCCTCACATACCTCGTCAGTCGTTGACGTCGCTGCGCGGCTTCTCGTCTCGTCCCCAGTGCGCTTGCGCGGCAGCAGATGACAGCGTCTCCGAAGCTCTTTTCTGTGCCTAAAGCTGTACGGCAGACCTGGGCTCACATGCCAGCAGAAACGGCCCCGCGTGCCTGCTCTGGCACGCGTGCCATAGGTTCACCAGCGCTGGCTTAGTGTATATGTCTGTATGTCACAGTCACTTGTCCAAACAAAACACTTTATTAAAACAACATATGTGCCCCACCACAGGGAGCAATTCATGTCTGTGGCTGGTAAGGCATGCTAGGAGTTGTAGTCCTGCGGTAACTATCAGCAGTCCTGTGGGTGAGGGGAGGTGAGCTAAGACTTGTAGTCCTCATAGCCGAGTCACATGTCTGGGTTTTGCAGGACATGCTAGGAGTTGTAGTCTATGGCACTCTAATATTTGTACAGATGCGGTTGCTGAGGTCCCCAGTAAGCGCGGGATACCTAAGGCAGCCTCATCTGCCTGAAGCCGCATCATCTTGTAAGCCGTGAGTGCCTGTAAACAGGAGCAGGCCAAGCCACACATCTCCTCCATCTTTCTGACACCACACTGCCCACCCCTGGATACCTGGTATGACACTGCACAGCACTCCTGAGAGTCTGCATAGCCCACCTGAGAGTGCGCATAGCCCACCTGAGAGCCCGCATAGCTAACCTGAGAGTCCCCATAGCCCACCTGAGAGTCCGCATAGCCCACCCGAGAGTCCACATAGCCCACCCGAGAGTCCGCATAGCCCACCCGAGAGTCTGCATAGCCCACCTGAGAGTGGGCAAAGCCCACCTGAGAGTCTGCAAAGCCCGTCTGAGAGTCCGCAAAGCCCGTCTGAGAGTCCGCAAAGCCCGTCTGAGAGTCCGCATAGCCCACCTGAGAGTCTGCATAGCCCACCTGAGAGTCCGCATAGCCCACCTGAGAGTGTGCATAGGCCATTGGAGAGTGCGCATAGCCCACCAGAGAGACCACACAGCCACCCGAGAGCCCACAGAGGTTTACCTGAGAGCCTGCATAGCCCATCTAAGACCCCTCACAGCCCACCTGAGACCCCACACAGCCTTCTGAGAGCCCGCACAGTCCCCTGGAGAGCCTGAAGACATCAGGGTGCCACCCGGAACAACAGAGTATATAGTTTCATATTATTTTGTATTGCTATATAATATATTGCTGAGATGTTTAGCCCTCTATAGATGGTCTCCTTGGCTGTCTCTTCTTGCTCATAGCCCACCTGCGAGTCCGCACAGCCCACTGAAAATTGCTGCATGCGGTGCTAAAGTGTTTGGGTTTCACTTGAAGAAAAGGTGGCAATCCTACTATATACTATATACAGTACCTGCTATTCGACATGGCACCCTCCCATTGCCTGCTGTAAACAAGGGGGAATTCACCCAGCTCCTTTGTTTACATTCAGCTCCTAGCTGAGAAATATTACCCTTGGCAGATGAATGGGGCCGGGGCAGTATAATTGGTTGCTAGGACGGCTAGGACCTAGCAACCAATGCACAGGGAGCTGTCACATTCATGACGGCTTACAGCACATACATACACCGCTGTGAGCACTGGAATCTCTCTGTATACAGATCACATCAAGTGTCAGAAAACAACATCTCCATAAAGTTAACGCAACACTGCAGCCCATCATTGCAGTGTGAACAGGTCATGTGGCCAATGCTGAGCCATGTGTCACGTGATTTCTTCCTATAGAGCAGATGACTGTTCAGGTCACCCGTGCCGTGCTGCCTAATAGTGCTGCATTAAAACACGCATTTTTCACCCCCTTTGCAAAGACGTTGCACATGGAGACTTGCGGGTGGGGGAGGGGAGCTGGCACATAAGCCAATACGATGGATGGTGCGGGCCCACACCATGAACAACGAACCGGGTTACCGACAGGATCAATAGCCAGCACTGGCAAGACAGGAGTCATACAATTAGGCAATGTATCTTAACATGTTATGAGTTATGTTTTTGTTTTTGTTTCTGTTTTTGTTTATTTCTTCTTATCCCCATGTTTGAGGATTTTACATTTACCCTTGATTTGGTTCTTGCCTACATCCGAGTTTGTCAAAATAGAGCTAAAAGTATATTACTACTTGTATAAATATTAGACATGATTGACATCTTAAACCACCTGAATAAGACCTGAATGAAATATGTATTGCGCACACTGCTGTATTGATATGCTCTGTAATACTATGTAAGAGCAAGATGATCGAGAGAAAACAATAAAAAATGTTTAAAAAAAAAAAACACGCATTTTTCCTTATGTTACTGCAATGCAAAGAATGGATTTTATATACAGACAGTAAAAGGACATGGATCTGTCTTTATAATAGTTTGGTATTATTTTATTTTCAGTTTCTCCATTGCAAGGGGAATATTTTAAGCAAACCAATTTTATTTTAAGCAGACTAACAGGGGAAGCTTGCTGACAGAAGGAGAGAATAGAGTGAGTGACATAATGGCCTCCCGCTGTCCAATCAGCAACCAGCCTAGGGGGAGACATGAGCAGCATTCCTTCCAAATGCTTCCTGCAGGCTCGGTGGCACATCAATTCATCCTTTTTACACAATAGGGAAAGTAATCTCAACTGCATATCATATTGTTTTTCACCTTGCGTGATAACGTGCCCAGTATACTTCCTTTTACTTACTGGGCCAGCTGTGACCTGCTCACCACTTCCTTTCTAATACCAAAAATCCTCCAAGTGGCAAACACTTAATTAAATAATGCAAGCTCAGATATGACGCACAGTCTGCGACCAATGTTTGTGATTATACTCAACAAACATAACCAGGGTCAGGTGCGAGAGTCTCCATACAGTTGTACATATTTTCAGACCTACTTACCCTTCTGTCATTTTCCTTCCCTGGTGCCTATACATGGCAGCGCACGCTTTGACCACAGGTATGCTGCCATGCAGGCACCAGGATAACATAAATAATAAGCCCCTGCAGATACTAAACATTCATAATCCTAAAGGAAAGCTCTACTAACTTAAGAAAATGATAAAATTCTGTAGACGCGGAACACAAAACACATCCAGGGGAATTTATCAAAACTAGAGCAGCTGTGCATGGTAGCCAATCAGATTCTCTTAGTATTGTTTTATGTTAAAAAATCTGAGGGTTTAATGTCACTTTAACTGAACAAACTGAAGAGAGAAGCTGATTGGCTTGGGCAGCTGCTCCAGTTTTGATCAATTTAAACTCGAACTCCAGGACTTTTTTTTTTCAATTATAATTTTTAGGTCCCTGCGGAAAAATTCGGTTCAGTTCGGATATTTAGTCATTTCAGGATTCAGATCCGAAAATTCAATTTGGTTCAGATTTCTGGCAAAATCTGAATTTTCATTAGTTTTGGATGTGTTTACGAATATTCGTTGCGAATACCACAGAAAACCATATACAGATATTAATACTAAAGCTGATCTCATAGACCTGAATGGCATTTGGGAGTCCGGATTTCCGAATACCATTTGGGAGCTCCAGAAAGCAATACGGGTCTGGGAGCCATATTAAAGCTGAGGCTTCTAGACCCGAATGGCATTCGAGAGCTCTCGAATGCTATTCAGAAATTCGGACTCCATTCGGGTCTTGGAGCATCAGTTTTAGTTTCCCTATTTATAACGATCTGAGGGCCAGATCGTTATAAATAGGGAAACAGGTTATTTACAACGACAGTAGAAGTGATTTATTTCTGAAGATACGGGTAAACAATGCGATTTAACAGCCTTTGAACGTGGGATGATTGTTGGCGCTCGGAGCCATGGAGCGAGTATCAGCAAAACAGCAGAATTCGTTAAATGTTCAAGAGCAGCTGTTGTTAAAGTGTTTAAAGACTGGACTGTCAGCCGAAAATCTGGGTCTGAACGTGCGAATTGTGGCCGTCAGCGACTAGTCAATGTTAGGGCAGAATGGAGAGTGGCAAGACTGGTACAAGACAACAGAAGGGCAACAGTGCAGTGTCAGATTCTTCCCATCACCTTTCAACATCTCGTGGAGTCACGAGGCGGCCGAACGAAGTCATCTCGTGGAGTCATCTCGTGGCCCAACGAAGTACTGATGGGGTGGTCATAATAATCTGGCCACTCAGTGTATAAGTAGTATTCTGTAATACGAACAAATATTCTTAGCGACAACATGTGACCAGTGGATTCGGACGCATTTAAATGCATTGGGACAGGTTCAGTTTGCTAGATACAAAGTGGAGTACACAGAGCAGCTATCCATATTCCATCTTTCCTGGTCTGACCTCAGGAATGGGAATTCTGAATGGCATCTATTGGTTACCTGTCTTTGCATTTAGCACTTTCCTCTTTGCACTACATTTTAATAAGCCTATTAGAGTTCATGATTTGTATCAGAAAACAGTCAATGGAAGCTGAAGAGTCTTTTAATAAGATAGAGTTGGCTTTATTAGAAGTTACAGGCAGCAAGTCTAAAGCACATTAGTGTAACACATTGGGTAATTAACAGTCATATCTTATACAGCCATTACAAAACTATTAGTTCAAGAGCTTCCAAGGTCACAGGAATCTGCTGCGGGCTTCATATCCCATGATCCTCCGGACTCTGTCATAAACATACTGCTCAGAGGCCTTGTATGATGCTACACCAAAGGGACGAGCTTCAGAAATTCAAATGCATTCTATTCTCATGTAGTCCATTAATAATCTTTTCACATGCAGCTCAGGGAAACCTTGGACAAACCAGTGTGCCACCTCAGCAAAGCCATCACTGCAGAGTGGACAGGAACTAAATGGAGGACATCAAGAGTTTTTATCCAACTCTGGGCTGCACCCAATTGGGTGGCAGACCATTGACTTGCACAGCTTCCCCCCAGCAAGCTGAGGATGCCTTTCCAACTTCCATTCCAGAGCCAGGCCTGAAAGGCTTTGGCTTAGTTCACACTGTTGAGTAGACCAGGCTTGGATTTGTGTTGGTTGTACCCAATTCTGTGGCAGACCATTGACTTGCACAGCTTCCTCCCCCCTCCCACCCCCCAGCAAGTTCAGGATGCCTTTCCAACTTCAAGGTCTGAAAGGCTTTGGCTCGGTACACACTGTTAAATACACCAAGCTTAGATTTGTGTTGACCTTAGCCAATCATTGGCAGACCACTGACCTGCATAGCATTTTCTTTCCCACAAGCCACACACAGGTGCAGAATATACTTCTACAGCTTATGCCTGGCTTGACCTGGCCTCAAGACACTTGCCCATCGGCATAGAAATAAGGCAGCTACTTCTGTCAAATAGTTTTTGAAGGGACATCCTCCATAGTTCTGATTTTTCATTGACAGCTGCAGTCAGTGACTTGCATGCAGTCCTGATGGGACACCTGATACGCATCTGTCTTTTCCAGGTCAGCGACTTATCAAGCAGTGAAGGAAGGATATGGATGACAGCTCTAGAGCAAGCACCTACAGACAAGTCAGCAACGGCAGCTTTCACATTTCTGCACCGACATGTTTGTTTCAACGGAAATGCACAAAAGCAATTATCTACGAGATGATTCATTTGATAATGTGGTGCATCATGAGCAGAAAATGTTTAAGGGCAAGTTCATGCTTGCGGTGGGAGCCTAAGAGCATTAATGGCCCATGCTTTAGGTCTACGATGGCCAATAAAAGCAATGAAAGTCAATGGTCATGTCACACCAAACCCCCTCCCTAGTCTTATCATCTGTCCATACTCCATAGAAATGTTTGATCTGTGGCCTGCTGGAAGCCACATAGATGTTAGGATCTTATTTTTTTTCAGCCAAGAATCTCTATTGTGCCTGAAGAATTCATTCATTGCTATGGAAAAGAAAGTCCTATTCGTCCTATGGTGGACGGCCTCTACACATGTTTGAATGGAGATTCTTTGGCACATGCAAGGAACAAACAGAGCTCAGACAGGAGACTTTCAGTGAAGAGGCTGTACAGAAATAAAGACTTGAGGGTCTGCATACAAACAAAGAATCTCTATAGAGCAGGGGCAGCAGCTCAGCATCCCCTCCACACTAGCATACGGCT